AAAAAAAAAAAAAAATTGCCTAAATCAGGCAATGACAAAATTCTGTAAGTTGTCCCCATAGTAGTTTTTATTTACCAGGTTTTTGGACCCACAGGGGTCAATTATGCCATCAGCATTTTCATCCTATTGTTCATAGCTAATTTAGGATTAGCATATTTAAAGTGAATCTGTTTTTAACCTGGCTACATATGAGAAATTTCTTTTAAATGTATTTGAATTTATTTATTTTGTTGCTGTTCATAATAATAAAGCTTTTTTCTTACTTATTATCACTCAAAGACTTTTTCAATTCCTGATAAAGAAGAGCAAAGGTCACAGATCAATGGTGTGTGCCTACTTTTCGTAGCATTGGGCATTGTATCCTTTATCACCCAATTTCTGCAGGTAAGGAAATTGAAGTAAGTAATTTAGCTGTTTCTCCTTTTTTGTGTTGAAACATAACTAAAGACTCCTCTTTTTTTTATGTTTTAGGGATATACGTTTGCAAAATCTGGAGAGCTCCTCACAAAAAGGCTACGTAAATTTGGTTTCAAGGCAATATTAGGGCAAAACATTGGCTGGTTTGATGATCTCAGAAATAGCCCTGGAGCACTGACAATAAGACTTGCTACAGATGCTTCCCAAGTTCAAGGAGTAAGCTATAAGGGAGGAGCTGTAGTGTATTAACTGGAGGAGAAGTTTTTTCCTTTGTACATTTAGATAATCACTTGTGTGTTTCCTATGGAATAGGAAGCAGTGAGATTGCAATACCCCAGAGCCACATTTTTCACCATTTCCAATGCTGACAATAAACAGTTAAAACACATCGTTTCTTAGGAAGTGACTGGAATCAGTGTTATGGCATGCCTCAAAATCTTTCAGGGTTTTGGATTTCATCTATGTCTAGCAACCGAGAAGAACTTCCCTGAGACTCATTCCTTAGACCATTTAGAGCCTCACAGGCCATGATTCAACCAGACTCAAAAGTTCTCTCAGAGGGTGTAAGCAAAGGGCCTACAGGAGAAAGCCTTCCTCACTCATGATGGTGCCCTGGGTAGTTAGTCTAGAAAAGAGGATCTGTTCTGAGCAGGCTGTGCTAAGAGCCAAGGGAAGAAACTCAGGGAAAGAATAAATTGTGGTGGTTTAGAATCTTGAAGCCTTCAGAGAGCTTTCTTTCTGACAAGAGAGATAAAACTGTGATTTCTAAACCTCAGAACCTGCAGCCGTGTTCAAGGGACTTACACATATGTATAAAATGAAGCTATACCTTCTATAAAACCAAGTGTTTAGGTTAAATTGTCAGAAGTCAAATTTGTCTCCTAACACCTATGTCTTAGTTTCCTAGTGCTGCTGTAACAAAAGATATGACAAGTGGGTGGCTTGAAAATATGGAAATGTATTGCCTCACAGTTATTGAGGCTAAATGTCCAAATCGGAGCATTGGCTCTGGGGGAGGGTCCCTCCTTGCAAGTAGCCTGGACTGCTCCTTGACATTCTCTGGCTTGTAGATAGTTCCTCACAAGGTCTTTCTACTTGAGCATCAATTACTTCTCATTTTCATAAATATATGAGGTATTCATTCATGTAAGTTTTTGTTGAGTTGATTAATGGAAAATAGTATCTTGTTATAATTTGCATTTTTCCTAACTATTGTCGTTGTTGTTACATGCCGTTGAGTCAGACCCGACTCATAGCAACCCCTCCTTGGGTTTCTGAGGCAGTATCACTATGGAAGTACATTGCCCCATCTTCCTTCCGAGGAGTGGCTGGTGGGTTTGAACCACCAGCCTTCTGGTTAGCAGTCAAGTGCCTTAGGCACTATGCTACCAGAGCTCCCTTCCTAACTATTAGTGAGGTTGATATTTGTAAAGTAATGATATCCCAAAGAAAAACTGCATAGCTCCTTTTTAAGAATCCTGTAATGCCTGATAGTGCTTGACAACCAGAAATTCTTAATTTAGACTTTTATTCTTGTCTCCAAAGGCATTAGTGCCAACACATGGGAATCTTTGGAGCTTGAAGTTCATGTTCCATCTGAGTCTTCAATACAGTATAAAGATACAGATTTTTCTTGAATAACACTGCTATTCAAACCTAATGGCTGAAACTTCTATTAATTTACACAGCTATAGCCACAAAATTTATGGATCTAAAAGCTTTTTTTTTTTTTTTTAAACATTGTTTGTCTTAGATAATACTGACATCCCTACAAAATTTGACAGGAAGTCATGTAGGGGTAGCTGTACTCCCCTGAGTGTTTTCTACAAAGATTCTACCAATTGCACCAACTACTAGTGACACCTACATAACAGCAAATAAAATGAAGACTTGGCATCCATAGCATACTTTTAATTAGTTTAGATAATAATTACCACAGTGGTCTAATCTCCACCAATATTGAAACACAATCCATTTTATTCATCTACAATGACTGAAAAACCAAGCTCTTTGCTCTTGAGTTGAATTTTGACTCATAGAACCCCTGCTTTATCTGAGATTAGTTGATTGTTTTTGATTTGCAGGCTGCTGGCTCTCAAATTGGGATGGTCGTCAACTCCTTTGCTAACATCATTGTGGCCATGATCATTGCCTTCTTCTTCAGCTGGAAGCTAAGCCTGGTCATAATGTGCTTCTTCCCTTTCTTGGCTTTATCCGGAGTTGTACAAACTAAAATGTTGACAAGATTTGCCTCACAAGACAAGCAAACTCTAGAGACTGCAGGACAGGTAATCTTACTGACCTACTTTCCAGACTGCTCAAGTCTGAGTGGCTGAAAGACTGTCAAAAATGGATAGTGCAAAGAAACTCTAAGTTATTAATCTACAGATGTTCACCAGTTAGAAACCTCCAAGTAACCCTTCTCATATATGCCAAGGCCAGAACAATCAAGATGCTAGGACTGGAGTAAATATGGAGGGTTAGATGTTCATTTTTCTCTCATCTTGTTTTATTTTTTCCATATCCTTTTTGGCATATTCTCATTTGCAAGAATGGATAGCTTGGTTTTCACTTTGTTAGGTTTTTTTCAACTTACATTTTAGCTAAATCATGTTGTCTGCATTCATTCACAGAGAGTAGCACATACTTTTAAATTTCATACTTTAGTGTCTTCTAGGCTTGTAGAAAATGTCTTTCTCAAATAGAATCACAAGCTACAGTTTGAATCTTGAATACGCATAAGTTTCAGCTATGCATTGTTAAAGTGTGCTCTGACTTACATCTAGGAGCTCTGGTGGTATAGTGCCTAGGGCATTTGACTGCTAATTAGAAGTCTGGCGGTTCAAACCACACCTTGGAAGGAAGATTAGGCAATCTACTTCCATAGAGATACCGCGTTGGAAACCCAAGGAGAGGTCACTATGAGTCGAATCTGACTCAATAGCAATGAATTTTTTTTTTTTAAATAATTTCTGGTTATCAGGGATAAATGAAGGGGTGGAGATGTAGACATTTATCATGTTTAAGAAATCATGTATGCACACACACATATACATGCACTCACTCTTTCAACAAATTCACTATAGTCCAGGTTTTATTGTTTTCATGAGAAGGAATGTGAACACTTTATTTCTGCCTAAGTAGGCAGAAACGTCGAGTTATAATACTGAAAGATTCTAAGGGAAAGTTTCTCTCTCTCTCTATCTCTCTCTCTCTCTTTTTAATTGTGATTTGGGTGAAAATTTACAGAGCAAATTCACTTTCCATACAGCAGTTCACATACACTTTGTCTCATGACATTGACTACAATTTA